ATGTTTTCTGACTTGGGGGATAGAATTTGGGAATGAGTGACTTGAAACCCTGTTTGTTCTTTTTTGTTTAAGGTTTGTATGAATACTGCTAAAAAAAAAAATGAATTATTCCTCCCTGTTAGGCTAGTAGTAGTTGTTATATGTGATAGATTGTAGGTATATTAGTATATGTAGGTTTAGTTTTATCTTCATCTTATCATTGTTATTATGGCTCATGATCTGTTAAATTCAGCTTCTGTACTTCGAACTGAAAAAAAAAAATATTTGGGGGAAGAAAAACAAAAGGTTGCTTGTTTATAGGTTGCTTGTTTACATTTTTTGCTACTTAATATTTTTACGCAATAATGCCTTGTTTGTTTGAGTCCTTTTTTTTACGTTTAAGCATTTTTGATTACTTTGCCCTGGTAGGCTGCCCAAATTTTTATGCTGTATTGAATCACTGAATGCGACTCTGTACTTCCCTCTTACGATTTTTTTTTTTTTTTCCAATTTTAATCATAGTTTGAGTTCTGGGTTTTTTTTTTTTTTTTTTTTAAGGGTTATAAATATTTTCTAGTTTTATTATATTTTTTTTTGTAGTATTTATAATTTATTACTTTTTGGAATGATATTTGTCCTTGTTTGAATTTTTTGGAATTTTTTTTTTTAAACTTTAAATCGTAGATTTTTGTGAAGTCAGATAATAATTATGATTGCAATAAAGTTTAATTATAAGAGAAAATTATGATTTCTTGTAGAAATTTTGAAAAATAAGATTTATATTAAGAAGAAGATTTAGTAATAAGTGGACGTCATAGTAGAATGGCAATTCTGTTATTTACCGGAAAACCATGTCCCATAATTATCTGACCTGAACAGAATCCAATCTCTTTGTGCCCACATCATATATTCCCAGTCCCTGTACTCCCCCTTACAAAGTAATTGATTTATAAAATGATAAAAAAAAAATTAAACATTTAATTACAACCTTTTTTAATTAGAATAAAGAAATTAAAGTCTAATTAATTAAATTAGATTCTTTTTTAAAAATTTAATTATTAATATTTTGTCGGATGTGAAATCTGAAGAAAAAGAAAATAATCACTTCATACCTTTCTTTTGAAGTTAATATATTAAATTTAATTGAACCTAAATTTTCTCTTCCCATCAAATTTAAATAAATAAATGTAAATAATTTTTCTAATTAAAAAAATAAAAAAGAAGAGAGAAAAAACGGTAACACAGAAAAACTAGCTTTTCAGATTGGAGTGAGTTTATCAAAGACAAAGATCTAACCCCTTGGTTAGCGTGCTTTGTAGCAGAACAACAGTCGAAGCCCAAATCTCGCCAGTCCCTGTTTCTCTCTCCCTCTCTCTCTCTCTCTACAAAGATTTTCCCACACTTCCCATTCAGTTTCTCTATCATTTTCCCTAATGCCAATCACTAGGGACCCATCTACCCCGCCGCCGATGATCGGCAAAATCGGTCCTTACACCGTCTTCATGACTCCACCTTCCACTCCTAAACCGGTTGCCGAGCCCATTTCCAGCTCCCCCAAACCGGTCATGCCGCCTCCCGTTCAGCCTCCGCCTCAGCAGTTCCATAAGCCTGTTGTTTCCCATTCTGTATCGGACGGCTCCGTCGCCGGTTTCTTCAAGAATGCCGTCACCAAAGTCCAAAGTGGTATGTTTTTTTACTGGTTCTACATTATTTTTATTAGCTAGGGGATTTTGTTCTTTGGTTACTGAGAATTATGGATGAAAGAGGAAAGTAAAGGGAATAGCAAGAAATTAAAATGTTATGTTTTTTATTTCTTTTTCTCCCTTTTCTTTTGAACGCTTTTTATGTGTTCTGGTTTTCGATGAAGATAATCAGATATCTAAAAAATTGAGTTGAAGAATTTTGTCTGATTATAGTTAGGAACTATGTTATACAGCATTAAGATCATTGTTTGGTTTCTGGGAAAATGCAGGAAAATTATATACAAAAAACAAAAACGAAGCAATGATAATGGATCTTATCTTGTTTTGTGTATTATAAAAGGCAGCACATAAATTACAGATAAGATGAAGAGTTTGTGATTTTTGGACCTTACTTTTTGCATTGCTTTGTCAAGTTTCCTATTTTGACGTCTACTGTTTCACATTAGTCACGAAGTAATGTTTGGCATTTGAGATTTCTTAAAGCTCAAAAATTTTATTAATCCTTAGCACTGTAATTTTTGGGAGGTTGGTTTTAGTCAGGCTTCTGCTCTAGAATCTAATGTCTGAAGTTGATAGATGTTTTGTTTCCTAAGATGAGTGTTATGAAAATGGGAAAATTGACCTAACTGAATTACCCCTAATAAGTCTATACAAGGAACGGTTTTGAAGTTTCTATTTCCTTCAGTACTATTAATAGTATTTGGAGTTTCAAGTATTGTCTTTTTCAAGTTATTTACTAATTAAACAAGTGCTTTTCGCAGCACATTCGAGCTTAGATGAGCATTTGGCTCGCTGGTTTGGATTAAATCAGTCAAAGTATCAGTGGGCATTGGATGATTATTATGAGAGCAAGGGACTGGTAAGATTTGTCACCTGCCATTTCAAGGTTTTGTTTTTCACTTTTAAATGGAGCTATTTCTGTCTAAGGCCAAGTAGCTTGGGGGGTAGGCTCAAGAGAGTCAGGGAGATTTTTTAAGGTTATGTTTGGAGCATATCAAGAATTCATATGAAATTCATTCGGGAAATCACACTTAGTTTAGCTGGGAGATGGTGAAAGTTCTATCAAAAGAATAAAAAATTATCTCCCTAGGGAATTTGAAGTAGAATTGAAGTAGTACATCCCAAATTCTATTGAAATTGATGTAATTTGGGATACATTGTTCCAATTCCACTTGGAATTTCTTATGAGCTCTACTTTTATCAGTTTAGATGGAATTTTTACTTTCTCTTATGAAATTGAGATACATTTCAAATGAATTTCACAAAAATTCTTTTTCTTTAAATAAGAATTTCGCAAAAATCTTGATTTCCTCCGCGAAAGTAGCCAATGAATATTATGTTGTTGACTCTCCAATTTGCTTTATTTGAATGTTGTTGTTGGGTTTGGTAGTACTGTTACTGTTGAAGTTACATACGAAGTAACTTATAAGCAAGTTACCTTTCAGTTGTAATACTTTTAGTCCTGCATTTTACCATGAACTTTATTCAGTTCATGTGTCCCTACTTTTTCTCCTCCCACTTAAAAATGTTCATAATTTCCCATTAAAATCATGTTTCTCTTGAGTGCTATTTTTGCTGCTTGATTGAACTGTACAGTTCACAGTTTTTTTAGACTTGAGTGCTTTGTAAAGAATCTTTTTTGGTAACTATTTGTTCTCATCAACGAGCTAGTAATCTTGTTTACGTCGTTTCTTCTCCCCCATTCTCTCTCTTCTAGAAGGTTATGTTTGAAATGTCAAACCTTCTACATTAACTAATTGGTTTCGATTGCATACTAGAATAGCTGTTCTCAGGAAGAAATATTGTCCTTCTGGGGAAGAAAAAATGAATTGCTAGTCTGTAACTCATCTTAGTTGGCCAGACTTATAAGGTCGCTGTGTTTTTCGCAACTCATTCAAATCTTTCCTGGCTTCGGTTGATGGCAAAGCCGAACCATTCACCTTAGTATAATCTATGCAGCTGCTAGAGATAAAAATCTAAAGAAAAAAGAGTAAAGGAAAAATACCAGCATTCTGCCGCGAAAAATCCTATGTAAACCTCAGATGATACCAGCTAAGGAGGTATGAAACTTTCCTGCTGAACTGGCTAGATGAATGGCAGTATGTAAAGGCCTTGGTGGCTGCAAATAAGTTTTATCTAGACTATGTTTGGAAAAGCTCCAGTTTACCCGTGAAATTAATTTAGAAATCAACACTTATTTTTACTAGGAGGGATGAAAATCTCTTCCAAAATTTTGACAGAATGCTGTTTGTTATCATATTACATCGGCATTTATTTAATATTTGAAGGACTCATTACTTGAAAATGCTACTCAGATTTCGTAATCTGTTTAAACGCTTCATTTGCATGTATTCTACGTGTCTGTTCAGGTTGAGAAAGACAAGAATTTCACTTGGCAATCTGTACTTGCAGCGTTTTATGCTGTAATTTTTCTTGTTAATTTGAACAATTGACCTGATTCCCCTGATATTGTTTTATGCAACTAACAGGCTTTGATGCTTATGATTCTTCTATTTTTTTCAAAATTTTTAAACCCAACTGCAGGAAAAGGAAGGTGTAAAAGCAAAAGAGATGTCTGGCAAAGTACAGAGCGTGTAGTATACTTCTTGGTTCTGGTATAGAGAAATTTAAATCCATTTTCGTGTTACGAAAAAAGGATTCGATTTTCATCTCTTTAGCCTGCACAACTAGTTGATGTTTAATGGCTCGCAACTCTTGGGACTGCAGATATATATATATATAGAGAGAGAGAGAGTGATTGATGGGTCTCCTTTGTATACTATACATACCTAATATATGGTTAGGAAAATTGTACTGGATGATGGAAGGAATGCTTATCCGAGTACAAAACATCTTAGTATCTGGTAACTTCATATGTGAAGCTACCTGCTGCAGCAGCTGGCCGAGCTTGTTTGTGTGCCAGGTTAAATGACCCATGTAATCTTAATGCCCTTAAAAACTTCTTCCTAGAATTTTGTTGTTGTGATTCATTGAGATGTCTTCTAGTCTAAATTACTTCCAAGTTGTTGGAAATCCATTGTTGTATTTTGGTTTAAAAGCGAATTCAAGTTCACAAGTGAATTGATGCCGTGTGCTGGATGCAATGATTTCATTATCACACCATGGATTTAAAGCGTGGTTCAAATAACCGATGCTTCAAAATCTGCCCTTCAGTTTTTATTCCAATGTAGAATCAGAGATTTCATTATCATATATCTCCTCTATTAGTACTAATCTTAATTTTAAAAGAATGAGCTAGTTGGCTAATTCAATGTCGCATCTCCTATTTGATTTTAAGTGAGACTGTCCAGAGCTTTCTCTGTCTGTTACGGAAGTGCTCCAGTCATTTGATCCGCTATCGACAGGTATGTATGGCTCCAGATGTTTGAAAGGATTTGGTGGCTGAGGTATTTCCGTATCTCCCTCTAACATCTTCACCACAGAGCTCATAAGAGGCCTCTCCTCTGGCGAATACTGAACACACCATAGAGCCACCATAGCCATCTTCTCTGCTTTCCCTCTATCCTTCTCTTCTATCCCACAGAGCGATAACATGACTACTAATTCGTTGTTGTTAAACATTTCCCATGTCCATCTCGGCAACCATTGACATGACTCAGTGGCATTAATATCATGGTGTCTTCTTCTTCCTAAGATCTCGAACAGAAGGATACCAAAACTATAGACATCACACTTGTGAGTCACAGGAAAAGGCATCCATAGCTCGGGTGCTGCATACCCTGGTGTTCCCTTGTAGCCTGTCAATTGGACTTGACTGCTTTCATCTCTTTTACAAAGCTTTGCTAATCCGAAATCAGCTACTTTTGGGGTCAAATTGGCATCAAGAAGTATGTTAGCTGGTTTTATATCGTAATGAATGATCCTCTCTTGACATTCCTCGTGCAAATATGCGATTCCTTTTGCAGTGCCTATTGCAATTTCATTAAGCTTCTGCCATTCTACCTCTCTGTTCTCATTAAACAAGATTCCATCAAGAGAACCTTTCTCCATGTACTCATAAACAAGTGCTCGAGTACTTCTGTCGAAGCAGAACCCGAAGAGTTTTACCAGATTGATATGATTAGTTCTGCCCATAGTGCTGACTTCTGCCATGAATTGACCTTCAATGCTCTTATGATCTAGGGCATCAGTTAGTACTTTTACAGCTACCTGTGTTCCATTTGGTACTAATCCTTTGAAAACTACACCAAAGCCACCAGATCCTAGAATTGTTGAATACTCTTCTGTAAAACTTGCAATCTGGTCAGATGAGAATCTGATTGGCTTCTCTTTTTCCATATTGCTTAAGAATCTCTCCATTGTTGGAAACTCCATCTGTACCTGTGATCGTATGTGGGTTGTTCTTTAAATGATTAGGAGATAATACTTGAACTTGAATTATCAACTCTATTATAAAAATATTATAAATATTAAAAACTGAAAATTTTAATTTATACATGTTTATTTCTAATTAGAATTAAATCAACCCAACTTTGTTTCTATGGATTTTCTAAAATTTCCATTCTACCTGTGAATGATTTGGGACTTGAAGAACATGAGGTATTGCAATTGAAACATGTTCTGATGATCGTTGTTCTTTTTCTGAGTATGAAGCTTTACCAATACGATCACTTGTGGCAAGTTGTGCATACGAAGGGATCGAAGTGCCTGCCTTTTTCAAGCAGTCAATAAGAGCATAGATCACAGCTACAATTGCTATGGTTATCACCAGGCCAGAAACTGAAAAATATATACATATATATGTATGGAGATGATCAGACAAAAATCAAACGAAAATCTTAATTTTAATAGTTACTAACTTCCAGCACGGGGGTATATTTTCTATTAATATCCATTTTCTTTAAAAAGAACAGAGAATCCTCTTCAAAAAAAAGAACAGAAAATCTGATTTCAATACTTACTGATAGAACCTGCAACAGCCCATTTTACTGCAGAATCGAAGTCATCGGTGGCCTTATTGAACTCGTCTTGAGAATCTTGATAGCTAGTCTGATAAGGGTGGTAGCTGAAGCTCATCTTCCTTATTGTTATTCTTGAACAGAAATTATCAGAAGATCAATTATCAAGAGAGAATGTCTCATTACCTATGTAGGCTGAGCTTGAAAAATCTATGGGGACAAACTGGGTTGCTTCAAGTTTGACTTTGATACTTTGACTTCAACTCATACAGCTCACCAATGAATCAATATATATATATATATATATATGTACACATATGCGTGACCAAGTCAATAATATTAACTTGTATCCTTTATTTATTTTAGGTGTGTATACGTGTGGAAGACCCGATTATCAATTATATTACGCTACATATGAAATTGCAATGAAATTTCATGAGCTCTGTGTCACCAAGTCAGAATAGATATTAATGTTTCCAGGACATTTATTTATACATATATATGTATAGATTAATTAAAGTCAAGTCAGAATAATATTTCGTGATAGATAAATAAAATAATGACCTTAGTGATTTTAAACCCGTAATATCCGATGCAAGGAGATGTTTTTCACTGTATTGATTGAGCATCATGGAAAAGCCAAGTTGGTGGGCAAGGTTATTGAGGTTTTACATAAAATAACTTCTTCTGATTCGATCCGTATATTAATTTCTTTGAAAGACACTGATAAATGTTATTGTTGTTAATTGCTGATTTTTCGATGCAAAATGAAATTTTGAAGGATCATACAAAATGGGCTTTCGTCCAAACATCTCCTTGAAAAGATTCATGCAGTAAATGAGGAGAAGGAAAGGAATATTTGAAGATGCATGCAAGATGTTCGATGAAATGCTTGAGAGAAGAAAAGGAATATTTGAAGGACCCTACAAAATGGGCTTTCCTCCGAACATCTCCTTAAAAAATTTCATTCAATATATGCCCAGAAGGGTTGCTTGCAGAGGGGAATTTGGAAGATGCATGCAACATGTTCGATCAGATGCTTGCGAGAAGATTTCATCCAATGCAGCCCATTTTTTTTCCCTGTTAGTTAAGTGATAAATTAACATGCCAAAATACTGTTATCTATGATTTGGAGCCTACAGTTACGTTTTATAGATTATAATAAATGTAGTTCTTTCATTTTTTTTTTTTCGTCAAGTTTTTTAGGAAAGGAATTATTTTGTATAAGGGATATATACTAAATGTATCATGATTTTTACTTTCGTCTTAAGTTTTACTTGGTACAAAAAATGGTTTCCAAACAATTTTTTTTTTTTTTGTTTAATTGGCGCACATATGTACCAACAATTTTTATATGTTTGATTCAATTTTTTTAGTAAATAGAAATGAGAACCCATTTCATTCAAATAAAAAGGGTCATTTTTTTTTTTTAAAAAAGGAGTTATAATATAATTTTACACAACAAGAATATTTTAATTATTAAGTAAAAATAATAGATAATAAAAATTCAACCCAATCATTAGTTGCAGAAATGATTAAGAATAAAAAAAAAATAATCCAAAAAAAAAACAAGATCTATAGAAAAAAAAAAAAAAAGATACATAAAGAAAAGAGGCCGGCGAAACTCAATAAAAAAGACTAACCGACAAAATAGTATTTATTTTTATTTTTATTTCATCCTTTTTTCTTCAAAAGAAGTGAAAAAAATTATTAAGCTATAAGAAGAAAAGATTAGTGAAATATTTTCACTACTACTTTATTCCCCATAGAGACTCTCTGAAGAATAATAACACACTCAACCTAAAGTTTTCTTTCTAGTTTATCCACTTTTCCTCCTTCAATTAAGCACCTCTTTGTTTTCTTTTGAAAAAGAAAAAAGATCCCCTCCATTTTTTCCGTAGCTGACTTTTCCATCACTGATTTCTAATAATCCAAATATAATGTAAATAAACCTGTTTTTCTTTGTCATTATAATGCACCTTGCAAATACAGACATTTTAGCAAATAGAACTACTAAACAAATCCATAGTTAAAGAAGTTTCATAAAGATAACACCTCTGGAAATATTAGGAGAAGAATATATTTCTAAATGATATTTTCCTCTGCTATGATTACAAAATTTGACCGTGGCCACAAACCCGGCTTTCACAAGATAAAGACTGAAATATCCAGGATTCAAATACAATCTTTAGTCCGAAATGATCATTCCTCTTAATGCTACAAATTCAGAACATGATCATCAAGAACATAAAGCCAAGCTACCAGGGATCTCGTAACTTTCTTGCAGACAGAATTCACCGACCTTAAATGTGCAGTCTTCCTCTTCTCGAACATGGTATTGCATCTAGCATATCAACTATGCACTGCACTTGTCTTGATGTGAAGAAAACTTGGACTAGCTCTAGTTTATATGAAAGTCGGTGCTGGTGTATTTGTTAAAATGTTCTCCAAAATTTCCACTAGAAAGATCCCTCAGTTCCGAGATCACTCAACAGGAGTCCTTCTCTCCAATAATGATTCCAGAAATTCTTTACACAGTTTGGTGAGGGGTGGAAGGTTGTGTGACGAGCCACTGAATATAGTATCCCATGGTTTTCCTGATGATACAAATTGGATCCTGGAAGTGTTATTGCTCTTCAGCTCAAACTTCGGTAGTTCCCCATACATTGATGCATACCCGAATTTCCCTGCCAGAAAAAAAGAGGTAGAAATTTAAAAGTGAAGTACTACAATACAGGAACAAGTTTAAACTGTTGCAGCATATTTATCCGGATTTAGCACAGGTTAAAATGAATTAAAGGGCCCCTCCCTGCTTCGTTTTACTTCAAAACCATAGGAGACAATCAAGTTGCAGCACACATTGTTTTTGCTTAAACCAATACTAAGATTGGAGCCCTGGATATATGGTATACTCTTTTTGCCACTGGAATATACATTTAGGCTTCTGTCAAATGAAATCGTGTCATTTCATGCTTCAGTTAATAGAATCCAATATTACACAACTAGCTGAGGATATGGTTAACTTCCACAGGCCTCTTCCATTTGCCAAAAGAGTTCATTAATTTTCTGAAATAATGCAGCAGATTAACCACATAACATAATCTGATAAAAAAAACTACGTTACAAAACCCACCTGTCTCTCCATGGTCAACAGGTGCACCCTGATGCATCCCCGTAACTTCAGATGTTTCGTCACTATAAGGATCAAAAACTACATACTCATGATCACCATTTACATACGCAAGCAATGTTTGAGGTGGTTTCCCATATGCAGCATGCTCTTGTAAGAAAGATTGATTTGGTTTTACAAATGAAAGGGCCCCGCCCTCAGCCTGCAATGAATTGAATAAAAAATATACAACATTCAGCAAGAGCGACCACCAAAGTTCTAACTGATAATATTTCACACAAAAAAAAAAAATAGGCATTATCCAATGGTTAAAAGGAAAGAAAACTGGTGGTAAAAAGTAATCTAACAATATTGGATCCTCGTTCCTAAAAGAAGATAGTAGTTCTTTCCCCTCTTTATCATGTTTTCCAAATTTAAAAATAAAAAATAAAAAAGGTATCAGCTCTTGCCTACCTAACTCATATTCTAAGTCTTCAAAATGAAATTCTCATTAATGTTTTTGTTACAGCTATTCAGGACCTCGACGGCGGGATAGGTTTATTGGCGCCAGGGACCAACTGCAGAGCAAGAAGGGATTGGTTTTCCTGCTCCAGTTCTGACTCTACTAAGTCAGCCAGCTAGAAAAAGTTATGTTCCAAGGAAGAACCTACTTAGTCGTCGGTTTAGGATTTTATCTTTAATCTAAGAAATTTTATTAGGATTTACAGGACCTATGAATCCTTATTGTTTAATAGGAATCTAATTACAAAACAGCTTTCCTGTAAATATCATTGCCATCATCAATAAAAGATCATAGCTATTTAGTCGAAAACCCAAAGTTAATGTCTAAGATCAGAATTCCTCTTTAACGAGCCTCAACATAAGCTGGCAATGCCATGAATAGTAATGAGCCTCACCAATAAGGACTTCTCAGTAACAGGTTCCCTACCTCGATTGGAGATCCAAGATCGTAATAAACTAATATCAAGGCCAGTGAATATTGAAGACTTTCAAATTGTTACCTAATAAGTACTAGAAAGATCTGACATCAGAAGAGTACTAGAAAAGACACAATTCAAATCGAGAGTTTGTCCCAGGAGCTGAGTGCAGCCAAGACTGAAGCCGAACATGCAGCAGACTCAAGCAGCACAAGATTGGACAAGCAGCCTCAAGGAATCAAATTATAGACTGGATAGAGTAGGAAAGCACCCTAGTTCGCTAAGGTCAAATTCCCGCACTATGATAGTATGGTAGATCCATTGGGTTAGCAAAAAAGATGTGGAAGTTTTTCCCAGCATCAACAGGTGATTGAAGAAGACAAGGTGAGCCTGGCTTCCTTTCACTTCACGGACAATTCCTAATTAGGTTTCTTGAGCTGGAAAGGGACTGGCCAGAACTGGCACTGTAAAATTTCAAGACCCAGTGCAACTTACTACTCAGGCCATTGACCTTTATCACTGGAATTAGTGAAGCTAAGACAAGACGGAACTAACAGATTACTAGTGGCATTTTGAAGTAGATGTGCCTCTGGTCTCACAGCAGCCCAGGAGTCAAGATCTTCATCAGTGGGTTGCAAGACCACATCGCAATCAAGGTTGAATAGCACCCACTGGATCTGACAACTGCTATGTGCTACGCTCGGATCAAAAGGGAGACAAAAAAAAAAGCGGGAGAGCTGCTGCAAGCATATCTACATCAAGGCCCCTAAAGCAGCCTTCATAAAAAAGGCTCATCGAAAATCGATTCAGGACTGAAGGAAAAAGGAACTTTCTTTCAACTGCAGTGAGCCCTTTATGCCTGGATACAATTGTAAAAAGTCACTTTGGTTGGAATTTCCAGAGCACATCAAACAGGAGGAATCTTTGGAAGCAAAGGACGAGGGAGGGTGAATTCGAAATATCCATCCATGCCATAACTAGCGCATCCGAAACAATGGAGAGACTTATATCGTGCTTTCTAGACTGCCCATCGTTGATTCTAGTCT